TCTTTCCCTTGTTTCTGAGGAACTAGGTGATAAGAGTTGTGATTCACATTTGGCTTTGCTCTTGATGTCCTCGCAATTTCTTGAATACACATTCCGTTCTTATTGCATCCTAATTCTATCCCCAGCGGCCTCTAATAATGCTTTTCCTTAACATATATATAACTTTGTATACAAAAGGTACAGTTATAAAATATACTCTACTATACGCTTCTCTAATCAGAAGATTCTAGGTTACATACCAAGATCTGGATCTATTATAATTGAACTTCTGAAGGCACAGTGACAGTTGTCAATATAGAAGCATGTCAGAGGAAATGTCAGACCCTACATTCAGAAACCACATTCATTTTTCCCTTGTCCTACAATATTGGGGACCCCCCTGCTCTAACCATTACGCTTTATTGGCTACTGAATGCACATTCTGTACTATTCTGCCTGCATTTGGTCTGGGGAAAGGTTTCATAAAAGTATAGTATTTCGATGTTTGGCTGGGGAAAGGGTTCCTAAAAGTATGTTATTTCAATGTTTGGCTGGGGAAGGGTTCATAAAAGTGTATTATTTCAGTGTTAACATTTCTAAAACTTTGCAAAGTTTCTTTCACACACCCTGCTAGTCTGCAGTTGTCTTTATAGCAGGCCCGTTCCGGGCTGATTGGTTCCATTCCGGGTTTTACACCCACACACACACACACACACACACACGCCCCAATGGTGTCCTGACCTTGTGTTACTGCAGTTCTGTTGTCCCGCTGGGCTTCGGAAGTACAATTCGGAGGACTCTCTGAGGGCTCTTGGAAGATTTTCCGGGCACAGACGAGTTACGGGGGTTGGAGCCAATGTTCCCTCTAAGCTGCGGAGTCTTGTGAGCAAAAATTCTACTTTGTGAGCTCCTGGCATTTACGTTGTGAGCGAGCGATTTGGCTACTGCATAAATTAGTTTGCCTCTGGAGCCCTCCTTCCTGAGCTAAGGCAAAAATGTGTGAGCCAGAGGGTAAAAAACTGTGAGCTAGCTCACACTAACTCAGCTTAGAGGGAACACTGGTTGGAGCACCCTGGACTCCTTTTTCTCCCCGGTTTCTGGAGAAATCTGACGGAGCTGAGCAAGGATTTTCTCCTCTGCCTCCTTTCCCCTGTATGGAAGGAGAAGCGAGCTTCCTCATGTCGGCCGAAAAGGTGAGTTAAGGGTTTACAACCAAAGAGGTCATGTGGAAGGATGGAAGGGGGAGGAAGAAAGAGAGGGATTGGGTGCGCGAGTCGAAATGGAAGAGAAAGGAAGAGAAAGACCCGGAAAGAGGGAGCTGGGGGGGAACGAAGGGAGAGAGAGACGCTTCCCGAGCGGGATCTTTGCACAGCGATGGCTGCTGTCGCAGACTAAGTTTCAGGCGTCCAGCCCGAACTGATTGTTGTTCCTAACGGCATAATTCAGCAGCCCCTTTAGTTTTTAAAACTTGAAATCCACCCACCCCCTAAGAACCCAGCCGTTCGTCCTCAGTAAAGCTATTTATTTCTTTACTTTATTCACATCCTGTATTTGCATACCCAGACCCGCTTACGTCATTCTCTTCTCGTCCATTTTATGCTCACAACGACCATGTGAGTTAGGGTAGGGCTGAAAATGTGTGACTGGCCCGAGGCCACCCAGCAAATCTTCCATGGCACAGTGGGGATTCGAACCTGAGTTCACTCTTCTCTTCCTTTCCAAGAGTTTTTTTTTTCTGTTGAATCCAAAACCTCCTGAGATTTAGTGGCTTACTCACAGTTCAGGGACGTAAGTGGCACGTTGTAGTTATAGCAAAAGTGCAAATATCAGTAAAAATCTGTGAAGCAGGATGATGGAGCTTGGTATTGCTAGGCAAGAGGAACTTCGTCTTTAGGCCATGGGGGGCTGCTTAGGCAAGATAACCTTATCTCTTCTTTTGAGAAAGTTACTACCTTGCTGGATCAAGGGAATGCTGTAGACAGTTTATCTTGATTTCAGTAAGGCTTTTGGTAAGGTTCCACATAATATACTTGTTGACAAATTGGAAGCATGTGGTTTGGATCCTATGACTGTTAAATGGATCTGTAACTGGCTGACTGCCAACCTAGCAGTTCGAAAGCAAGAAATTGCAAGTAGATAAATAGGTACCACTTCAGTGGGAAGGTAACAGCGTTCTGTGCACCTTGGTCATGCCGGCCACATGACCACGGAAACGTCTTCGGACAGCGCTGGCTCTTCAGCTTGGAAACGGAGATGAGCACCGCAACCCTAGAGTCGGATTCGGCTGGCTTTCGAGCAAGGGAACCTTTACCTTTAACTGGTTGACAGATCGCACCCAAAGAGTGCTTGTGGATGGCTCCTCATCTTCTTGGAGAGGAGTGACAAGTGGAGTGCCTCAAGGATCTGTCCTGGGTCCTGATTTGTTCAACATCTTTATCAATGATTTGGATGAAGGGATAGAGGGAATGCTCATTAAATTTACAGATGATACTAAATTGGGAGGGGTAGCATAGAATCATAGAACGAATCACAGAATGTTAGAGTTGGAAGGGATCTTGCAGGTCATCTAGTCCAACCCCCTGCACTCTGCAGGAGGCTGGACGGCCATCTTTCAGGTATGTTGTAGGGCTATGTTTCAGCTACGCTCCTGCAGAGTGCAGGGGGTTGGACTAGATGACCTGCAGGGTCCCTTCCAACTCTAACATTCTATGATTCTATGATTCCTCTGGTAAACTGAGAGTGTGTTGGGAAAGGTTAACAGTATTGCTGGTAGAGTTGTCGTGCCTAGCTGTGCCTTGTAAAAGGTTGGAAAGTTTCTTCCCTTCTACTTGTAGTTAGATGTTCCTCACGGAATGCACATCAATTGTGTATCATTGCAGCCTCAGTAAAAGAGCCAGTTTGGTACGGTGGTTAAGTGTGCGGACTCTAATCTGGGAGAACCGACTCCTCCACTTGTAGCTGCTGGATGACCCTGGGCAACCCAAAGTTCTTTCAGAGCTGTTTTTGAAAGAGCAGTTCTTGAAAGAGCTCTCTCAGCCCCACCTACCTCACAGGGTGTCTGTTGTGGGGAGGGGAAGGGAAGGAGATTGTAAGCCACTCAGACTCCTTCGGGTAGTGAAGGGGGGGTATAAATCCAATCTCCTCCTCCTCTCCTCCTCTTCTTCTTCTTCAACTTTTAATGGCAGAGTACACAGAATTGGGGGGTTTTGTTCAAAGATCAAAGCTGTAACTAGGCCAGTTCTGGGATAATATGGTTCATTCTCTGAACACTCAGGAATACCAAGAGATGAATCAAATGTGTGACTTTTCCTCTTTCAGAGACCACCCATGTCCTTCGAGGAGGTGGCCGTGTTCTTCACAGAGGAGGAATGGGCTCTCTTGGATCCGGGCCAGAGGGCTCTCTACAGGGAAGTCATGCAGGAAAATTATGAGACTGCGGCCTCTTTGGGTAAGGATCTTCTCCTTTTTATTGTTGATATGGAAGAGAAGTCAGGGGGGAGTGTGGGATACAGGCCTAGTGGATCAGCACAGGCCTACTTGAGCTACATTCCGAACTGTTGATAGAATACATTCAGGCCTGACGGATAGGAAGTAGATAAACCTGTCCAATAGCGCAGGTGCCTGGAAGGGGACAGCTATATAACACTCCGTTCTTATCTACAACAGAAGCCTAGCGGTGCCTTACTGCTCATGCTAGCAACATAGCAAGAGGGGGACTACAGACCCCAGCCGGATTTAGCTGGTTGAGGCCAGCTGAATGCAGGCGCAGTAAATTTCAAGCTGTGCCACAAGTATTGACCAAGGGAATAGTGCCAACATAGCCTTTACCTTATAAGGAATAGAAGTAGCATATAGTTAAATCTCGCAATGTTATTACCTCAGATACTGTAACGAATTGCTTGGTATATAGGCTGACTTGTGGCTACGTGTCAGCAGGGGGAATAAAAGGCCCCGTCTACCTTGTGGAGGTGGGGCAGCTTGGTTCGCAGGCTACAACGCTTTTATCGCAATACATTCTATTTCTTCCTCCTCACCCGGACTTCGACGGAGTGTCTTTATTGGGCAAGGGCACTCGGACCAGGAGCATCGTCCTCAGCCC